GGAGATGTTTCCCCCTGGGAATCCGAGATCCCCAGCCCTGGAGAGATGTTTCCCCCTGGGAATCCGAGATCCCACAACCCTGGGGAGATGTTTCCTGCTGGGAATCTGAGATCCCACAACCTCGGGAGATGTTTCCCCCCAGAACCCATACCAGGTGTGCAGAGCCATTGTTAGTGACCGAGGACAGGCTGGCCCAGCGCTCGTTCTCCAGCTCCTCCATCACCTGGTTCATGGCACTCTTCAGCCACGTGTCCACGGACACCCCAATCTGCTTCAGCAGCTCCAGCCTCGCTTCTGCCTTCAGCTTGATGATCTGGGGATGCAAACACACACAGAGATCAGAGTTCCTCAGGCTCCCACCTTGCCCCATGGATCTTCTGACCATCCAGGGGGCTCCTGAAGCTGCTCCCTGTGGAAATGAGACCCACTTCTCATTTCCTTGCCTGCAGGAATGTGGTGTGAGCCAAGACACAGGCAGTGGTTTTCTGGAGGCCCAGCCAGTCTCACCAGTTGAGTTTTTTAAAGCAACACCTCTGAGTTTATGTTCGCTCCCAGCTCACACCCTTAAGCAGTTCAGTGTAACTTTCAAGTCCAACAACCCCAGTGCTTCACAAGGTTTTTAAAATTAGGAATATCCACAGTGCAGACCCTTCCAGGTGGTGACTAAGCTGCATGTGAAACACAAATAAACCCGACAAGATACACACACACACACCAACCCACCAACTCCCAAGCGAGGCTATTTTCCACCAGCACGTGCCAGAGATCACAGGAAACTCATTTGTTATGGAAGCACAAGATGTTAATAATCCTCAAATTAAGCAAATATCACACTCCAACAAACAGTTTCAGGATTTTTGTCTTCAGAACAGCATGAAAATGGAGGTTTTCTGACAGCTGGGTTCACTTCAGCATCCTGGCACGCTGTCTGGCTGATGGAGCCAAAGGATTTAACAAATTCATGGCAAAGCACCACCCAGATCCAAATTAGTTCACAGTCTGGGAAGAGCAGTGGGAAGAAATTCAGGATTTCAGCAAGACACGGAAGGCAAACCCAGGGATAAAACTCAGGGTATTTTTGTCTAGATCAGCCCTCTCGACACCCCCTTGCTGCCGTTGCTCATGAGAGGAACAAAAATCAAGTCATTTCTGAAAAATCCTTCAGTGAGTCACTGATGAAGGCAGCAACAGAAACCCACTGAACCAGCCTGGAATTCTTCCCATATTCCCTTTCACAGCACTGGTCATTTTTAGCAAGTAGCAAAGTTTCATCTCCTTTCTCTCCCTTCCAGCCCTTCTCACAGGCATCTGAAGCACCTCACTGCAGCATCCCTGACACACCAAGCACTCAGCAGCACTGGGAATCCAAGCAAAACCAGCAAAAACAGGTGAGTTCAGGCAAAAATTAGAGGGAAATTCCCTTTCCAGTAGTGGCTGAAGCACAGCAGACTATGCAGAATATATGTACAGTGAATTCAAATGCCAGTGGGTGCCAGGTAGGTGTTTATCTCTTACACAAATCCTTACTCCATAAAAAATTTTGTGTTGAACTGAAGTGATACAGGTATTTTTCTCATTTTTGACTTGCTGCTGCACATACAGAATCAGAGAATCATATCTTTCTACTAAGAAAATAAATCAGAAAAGAAATGACTACTAACTTTATTAAGCTGAACTCCTAAAAATGTCTCCATTTTCACTTAATTTGTGAGGGTAACTTTAAACCTGTCTCAAACAAACCACTTTTGAGAGACATTATTTTAAATTCTGTGTAGAAGAAATGTGATTTTTAAGGAGTAGGTCAGTTCTAAGAGGGAAATTTATGATGTCAGATGGCTACAGCTGTTTGCACACGCTCTGCCCTGTAATCAGGGATGGAGAAAGGAGGATGGGACAACTTTGAGAGGTGTTTCCCATGGGAAAAGCCAAAGCCACTGAGCTACTTCTTCATGCAAGGGGTCTCCAGGTGAATGATTAACAGTAAATAGTGTTCAGAGAGATGAGAAAAGGAGGCAACACTCAGTGCATCCCTTATCTCCTGTTCCTAAGCACCCAAGATTTTCAACAAACCCACTCCAACCTTGCAGCTGCACAGGGCAGGGAGAACAACCTTGTCGAAGGCAACCAATTCACAGAATCCCAGAATGTTTTGGGTTGGAAGGACCTTAAAATCATCCAGTGCCACCCCCTGCCATGGGCAGAGACACCTTCTGCTATCCCAGGCTGCTCCAAGCCCCATCCAGCCTGGCCTTGAATATATATATATATATATATATATATATATATATATATATATATATATATATATATATATAAATGTAGATATTTACTTGTGGAGTGAAGTAGCTCTCCCCTAACTTGCCTTTAGATCCTGACACCCATTTATGAGCACTTTCCCTGTGCCTCCATCTAGGACTTGCTCAGCCCAGTTGCTTTGCTGTTTACCTCGTTATGCAATTTCCAATTAGGCTGAGTTGTGCTACAGCAATAAACATTGGTCCAAGCTGCTACAAACATCTGCAGTTGCTGTTAGTCCTTCCTCTACTGTAGTTTGTTTGTACAAATTGTGAGCTAAAATAAACAAGCTGCTCCAAAATCCTTGAGTGTACTTGACAAGAGGTTTTAATTCAATGTATCCAGCAAATCCAGTGGAGTTCCCCCTCCCTGTTTACACCCAGGAGCTTTAACAGTAAACAAATGTTTGTTCTAAACCACAAATGTTTTGAGTTTCATTCCATTGCAGACAAGCCACAAAAGCACCAGAAGCATTAGGTCAGGCCTGCACTTGAAAGTTATTTACAAGCTAAAATTATATTTTTACCTAAATAATTATGCTGGTAGACCAGAGTTAACAGCTTCCTACCTGTAGGAAAAATACAAATAAAATACTACTCAGGAGTAAAACTTTATTCTGCTTCTCACACAGGATCAGCTATACATTTAAACATAGTTTAGTGGTGGCCTTGGCAGTGCTGGGTTGGTCTTGATGATCTTGGAGTGCCCTTCCAACCCCAATGACTCTGTGACTCTGTAAAGATACAAACATTTCATTCAAGCATCACTCCATCTGACTGAGCTGGGGTTGATGCCTTAATTATGCCAGAATAAAATGTTAAGAAGGAAACAGGGCAATAGTGGTGATTTCACCACATTGTGTCATAAACTTTTCTCAAAGTCTTGTTCCCTTGAAAGATCATCACATTAAAAACTAAGCAAGGCTTTAACCCTGCTTTTCCCTGCCTCCCACTGGAGTCCCCAGGGACACTCGTGCTGTGCCCCCTGACAGAGTGACCTCCTCTGACAGACTCAAAAACATCTTCAATCAAGTGACCCTTGGCATTCCCAGCAACTCTGAGCATCTCCAGGAAGGCAGCTGAGCTTCCAAAGCCCAGGAATGCTGGAACCCAGCACTGGCTCCGAAATCTGGGTGCTGCCCAAATTTCATTGTTAGGAAATCTCACTGCAGGACAAACATTTTCCTGTGTAACAGTGAAATTGCTGTTTACAGTCACCAATTACTGGTTAATAGCTGAGGACTGGGGTATTTTTACACTGATTAAAAAGCCATCAGCCACCCACAAAATGTACAAACTCTTCTGGGGGGTTCCTGCTCCTCTAAACTGTTCTTTCTGCTGGGAGGATCTAAGAAGATGAAAGGAAAAACCACCCAAGTTTTAGAAAATGTAAACACTGTTATCTATTCCTCACATACCTGACGTTGCTCCACATGGGAGATGCAATAGTTTTGTTTATTTACTGTTCCAGTCTTAATTAAGCAGTGGTTTTTTGACCCACAGCTTACTCAAGATGAAGATACACAACTGTTCTGCAAGGGATGGAAATGAAAGCCAGCAGGCATATTACAGAGCTGTTCCCATTCCCAGGAGAGAAAAGGGCTGGAAAGAAACTCAGAGTTCCTTCACATCCCACAAATCCTCAAATCCAAGTCCTCCAAAGCCATTTACAAAGGTGTTAGAGTAAAAACCACACAGAAATGCAGGAAATGTTGCCCCTTCAATATTCTGGTTTAGGTTTTTTTAAAGACAGTTTTAAATGGATTTTCCTGAAAAGAGAGTTGCTTTACCTGCCATGGCTTTTCAAGGTGCAGAACAAACCCTGTGCCATGCCCAGATTTATTTTTTTTTTCTCCTGAAGAATTCAGGATTATTTCTTTTACACAGAAGTTGCACTTAGGAGCTTTGTCAGATCATCTTAAATAGGATAAAATCAGATTAAATTAGGATTATGAGGAGACCCAAACCATCTTCTCTGAGAAATGTTTAATTCAACTGTAGTATTTTTTCAGTGGCAGGAAACAAAATCATACAGGAACTATTTAGGGTGGAAAACCCCTCTAAGATCATGGAGTCCAACTGTTCCCCCAGCACTTCCAAGGCCACCACTGACCATGTCCCCAAGTGGCTGGACACTCTCATTTGGAAAATTCTTTTTTCAAATGAAAAAATCAATGCAGAGAGATTCTGCCAAAACATTCTGGAAAGCCATTAGCTTTATTTCTGTCCCCACTTAGAAACACCTTTTGTTGAAATTCTAGACTTTTTAATTGAAAAATATATTAAAATGAAACAGTATTAAAATGAAATCATTCTCTTCAGGAAAAGTTAAATTTTAGGCCACTGGAATTATGATACAGTGACAGGCATGACTATAAATCAATTTGATTTATAATTAAGTCTTGGAATGCCCTAAACTTCTCAAAACCCAAAGTGAGTCTTATTCCATGCAGTTTAGTTTTAAATCACAGCCTGCAGTGTTAAAGTAGGAATGTATAAGGAAATAAACCAAAAAAATTCAGCTTGCACTGCCTTGCGGGGGTTTGGGGTGGGAAACCCAAAACTGTGGCAAAACCACCCCAACCAAAAAGATAAATCCTGTACAACACAACTCACCTAAATCTGGATCCTTTTTCTGCACCAGGTGGGGAATTAGCTTATAAATTACATTTTCCACCACAACACTGAGTGAGTTTCTTTTCTAAGTGGGAGGCTGGTCTGGAGGTTTGTACAGCTATTCCAGGAGTTAATTTATATGCTAAATAATCTGAAATCCAACGTGAAGCAAGCAGGAAATGAAGCACTGGCACACATAACACCTCTTCCAAGGGAATTCCAAGGTTAAGGAAACAGAGGGGAAGCTATTCCTGGAACAGAATCCACCTGCACAGCTCCAGCCCAAGTGGCAGATGGGGTTTTCCCAAGCTTAAGGCACATAAAGCATTAAAGATCCCTAAGGATTGAAGTTGTAAGGTTTAAGAAGTGGCTCTCAAGTTCTTGGGAATGGACATTACCCAAATTCTGTAAGGAAATAAGTGTCTGTAAAATGAATGTATGCAAACATTTATTATCATGTTTCTCTGAGGTCCTGGGTGAACACTGGTTCCTCATAGAGTGAAAAATGTAGTGGACATTTCAGAGCCAAAACAGTCAGTAAGACTGAGGCACAGGCTGGATTAAACACCCCAAAGCCCATCACCTAGAAAATCATCCCATTCCCACCCCCTGCCATGGGCTGGGACACTTTCCACTACCCCAGGCTTCTCCAAGCCCTGTCCAGCCTGACCTTGGGCACTGCCAGGGATCCAGGGGCAGCTCCAGCTTCTCTGGGCACCCTGTGCCAGGGCCTCCCCACCCTCCCAGACAGGAATTCCTTTCCAATATCCCACCTATCCCTGCCCTCTGGGAGTGGGAAGCAATTCCCTATTTCCTGGTATCACCCACCATGAAAAAATAATTCTCCTCCCCACTAAACTGCTTTTCACCAAGAGAGTTTGAAATTCCTGCTCTGTGGATGTCACTAGGATTTTTCCAGGCCAGTCCTCAACGTGCTGACCTGGAAAGACCAACAGCTCCTACACATCTCCTGCAGGGAAGGCACCTGGCTCCCTGCACTGCTTTCCCAGCCTTTGCTTCCTGAGCTCAACCAGAGATGGCAGCGAGGGGCATTTTACAACTTCTCCCTTTTGGATTGGGAGCCTTATTCCCTGGAAGAGCTCCAGGCCAGGTTGGACAGGCCTTGGAGCAATCTGGTCTAGTGGAAGGTGTCCCTGCCCATGGCAGGGGTTGGGACTAAATTATCCTGAAGGTCCCTTCCCTCCGAAACCATGCTGTGATTCCATTTCATTTATTTTCCTGAAGCATATGGAATTTGCTTTGTCCCCACTGTGACACAAACAGCAATAAATATCCAGTGCCAAATACAAGGAGTGCGAGAAATCAGCCCCTCAAGCACAATTAAAAATGGCCCTACACCTCTGAGCTGATCAAACAGAGCAAACAGCACCGCAGTGAGCCTTAACCAGATCTAATCAGGTACAAACACTCTCTGGAGAGCTGTAGGTATCCTGATGAGCAGACAAAATACATCCCCCTGTAATTAAGTGGGAATAGGATTAATTGCTGTGGAGGCCCAAAGACCTGAGAGCAAATGGGAAACCTCTCCCACCATCCTGGAGAAGAATCCTGTCAGCCCTGGGCCAACTGCACTGCCTGGGAAGAGCCCAGCTGGAGCCTCTGCTGGGAGAGAGGAAAAAGGAGATGAGAAGAAGAAATCTCTGCTGACACTGCTGAGGCACCTCCAGACCTGGGGGCAGCTTCAGGATCTTCAGGACAAGAAGGAAATGGAGGGGCTGGAGGGTGTGCAGAGAAGGGAATAGAGCTGGGAATGGGCTGGAGAATTCCTGAGGGAGCTGGGAAGGGGCTCAGCCTGGAGAAAAGGAGGGTCAGGGGGGACCTTGTGGTTCTGCACAACTCCTGACAGGAGGGGACAGCCGGGGGGAGTTGGGTTCTGCCCCAGTAAATTCCTGTCTGCAGTCATTGAAAGATAAAAGGATTCAGGCAGTGGGAAAATGGAAAGCTCAATTCCTTCATTCCTTCCTGTTGTTACAGAAATCAAAGCTGAAATCACAGAAGTTCTACTTCAATTACCTGAATTGGGTGAGTGAGTACAGAGGAGTTTCAAGAATGGTTTATTTTCACAAAAATCAGTTTTCAGTTTCAATTCCCAAACTTTTAATTGATCTCCTTTACAGCTGATGCCTGAATTGTGCCACTTTCAAATTGAAGGAGCACCTTATGCTCTCAGGGCTTGTCTGTCAAAGTGGTTCAATGCTGCTGGGACAAGAATAGAATCCCTCTGGATCTAAACTTCACTGTGAGTCAGTAACTACAGTCAATTTTACTTCTTTGCCAGTGCCAGAGGTATTATCCCTCAAGATCTAACATTATTTTAACATTTCCTTTTAAAAGAAGAAACCAAACAAACAAACAAACAAAAACCCACCCTATTTTAACAAATCCCGTATTTTCCAATTTTAACATAAAAATGTGTGTTCTGGTTATCAGTCACAGTCACATCTGCCACGAATCACCTGCACAGCAGCACTCTGCTGGAAATCCTAATTTTTCCCTGACTCTAATCAAGGAGTTTGCTCCCTGAAAACATCACAAGGAAAAACAGCTGTTATCCCAGGTAGAAAAATATCAGAGATAACCCACTGAGCTGTTGATGTGCCAATCTGAGGCTTTATATCCATCTTGCAGAAGGCAAAAAAAAATGGGATTCTCTAATATTTCCTGATCCTGAGCACATTTTTACTCAATTCCTTTGCTGTACTTTCAAATTACACCTGTTTCCACATCCCTGTACTTGTTAAATACAGGTATTCATATGGAACAGCTCCTCAGCTCCTCCCAGGGCTTAGATTTCCCTGGATTCAGGTGTCCAAGGAAGAGGGCAATGAGATGAGCACTTCTATGCCCACCCTGGGCAAAATAAATACACCCTGGAAAAAAATAAAACCTTTACCAATAAAACCCTCTCTAACCAAACCAGAAAGAATTAATCCCAACATGTTTGTGAAGTTGTCTTCCCCCTTCAGGAATGATGAGAATAGAAAAAAAGGGAAAAAAGTGGATTTGCAAAGGAAAATAAATGAGTCAAGAAACCAAAATGGGATAGAACAGGCACAAAAATTTCCATAAAAATCACAAGCATTTCAAGAGAAAAATAAAATAAAAATCAAATTTCTGTGTCATCCTCACACACCTTCATAGGTGATACCAGAACAAAATCCACAGCCTCCCTACAGCCTAAGTAACTTTTTGCATAAATGCCATTCCCAACCCCACCCTCAGTAATTCCAACTCAATCAGGTGCACTTAAATATACAGGAATGTTTGGTTTTCACCCACTGCAAGCAATTATAATTGTATTTTCAAAGAACAGGTTTTAGCTCAAAGCTTGGGTTGTCCTTCTCCAGGATTTTATGTGTGCAAAAATCTCGTCTGATTTGTGGTCTTGAGCTCAGTCTCAGAGAAGTGGGGACCAACCAGGCTAAAAGAAAAAGCCATTCCCAAGTGGAAATAAAATCTCTCTGAATTCACTTATTAGTTTATCCAAAAGAAATAAACAATGCTACACTATAAACAGCTTTGGTGGCAATACAGAAAAGTCCACAAAGTGGTTTCCACACCTTCCCAAAAGCTCAGGGATAACTTTATGTCTTTAAAATATGCAGCAGAAGAGAAAGAAGTTGGCAAAAATCCCCCAGTCACTGAGTTTCATCCTCAGGTACTAGGCACTGGCACCATATTCCCCTGTACAACAGGGGGACATGTTAAATGTCAGGAAGGTAAGGAATGGTTTCACTCCAACACACAGGGAAATCAGGAAAATACACTATTTGTATTAGTTAAAACACATGTCTTGGAGAAAATAATATATAAAACTTCCACTTCTTGGCACTTTCCCTCTCTCCTAAGTCACATAAGTTCCAGACTGATTTAATTTGCACCTTTTATAATATTTGCTGCAAGAACTTTCTCTTTGGCAACTTCTTATACTGATTTTATTTCCTGCTACTGCTTTTATCCTTGCAGATTTAATAACTAACTATTTATGTATATACATAAGTATTTTGGAGTATGGTCTGTTGGAAATAATTTACTCAAAACAGGTTTTTAAATCACTTTCTGTAAGAATTAGGTTTTAAAAAACACATATCCTGCATTTGCTTTAAAAAAAAAGGAGCCTGATAGTTCTCCTGCCAGGAGGAGGAATAAGTTTGCTCTGTATTTTCTAACCCCTTCACCTGTAAATCACATTCCTAATGACATCAGGTACTCTGAGGTATGAGAAGCACTTCACTGAAACAATTAGGTTCCTTCTACAGCTTTAATTAAGCAACCTACTCACCCAAAACCCAGCAGATCAGATCCTGCTGCCTGCAGAGGGGTTTTTCAGTCAGTGACCATGAAAACAGCTCACTTTGACCAGCCCAACACTGGCAGCCAGATAAGAAGTTAAGTTTTTCATGAGTCTTAACCCACAACAGGTCTCAAAAAGCTCAGTAACCCTTTTAAAAGCACCTCACAGTAAAATTAGAGATACAAGGATTATTTCCAGTGTTTTCCCATCAACAGTCACATTTAGTTTGTGTATCACAACCCACTACAACAGCACATGGCAGTTGCTTCTAAAACCTAAAAATATGAAAGCAGAGATAACATCACCATTTTCTGGTATTAATTCCCTCAAGCAGAAAGAAATTAGTAAAAACAATGAGATTGTTTTTTAATCTGTTTCAGATAAAGCCCCTAAATACAGAGATTCTTGACCTCTGACAGAGAAAAATGCAGTAAGAGGACTCACTCTTCATCAGGAGGTGTTTCTAATATCACTCTTCTGATCTGGACTTTCATGAAGTTCATTCAGTGATTTGACAAATATCAAATGAAGAAAAGAAAAAAAAAATCTTAAAATTCCCTGGGTTTTGATGCTAAAAATACACATTTCCCCCAACCAAGTGAAGTTGTAACAAAGATCTACCTGTGGGAAGGAAGTGAAAATGCCAAAAGATTTTCCTTTTTACCTCAGCCTTGCGAATGCTCTCCCTGGCTTCGTCTATTTTCTGCTCCAGCTCCGCTCGGGTTTGCTCAGACATCACGGGCCCGTGGCACTCCAGCTCTTCCAGGGTCTGCCAGGAACAAGGAAACACACCACAGGTGCAGAAGATGCCAAAGACAGGTATTTGTGACAATCAGTTACTGCCTGGATGCTGGGGTTGGCTGACAAAGGTCCATCCCAGGAAAGAAAAGGTGATGACTCTAATGCTTTGGCCATTCCCTGTGTCCACCTCTTATCCCAAGTCCCTCTCCATCTGTCTTGGAGCCCCTTTAGGCACTGGAAGGGGTACTGAGGTCTCCCTGGAGCCTTCCCAGAGATGTCAGAGCATTCTGGATGTTCTTTTTCTCCAGCTGATGCTGTGCTCATGGGTTGGAATTATATGGATGACCAGGAAACCGGGCAGGGTGAAAGCACAGCAGACTCCTTTGTGGCTGGATTTTTTGGGGGAAGAGCAAGAAGTTTTGTCTTTATTCTCCCTCCTAAAAGACACATTCAACACATTCCAAAACCCAGCTGCCAGATGCCCAAACACAGCTCTTGGCCCTTCAGAGCTGAGCCACAGCCACAGAAATAAATTTATCAATTCACATCTAATTTTACCTCTTCGCATTAGATTTAACAGCCAATTCCTCACGGATTTTCCCGGTGTGGAACAGACTTTTGACACCCATGCCCCAGGTGAGTCCCTGGTGCTGGCAGCTGCTGCTGTCCCAAGGGATGTGCTTTTCCCAGACCTACCCTCTGGCTGTGCACGATGTTCTTGTGCTCGCGGGCCACCCGCGTCGCCCATTTCCGCGCCTCCTTGTTCAAGCTGTGCTCCTCGGTTGTTCCCGTCTCCGATTCCAGCTGGCGGCTCTGCAACGGGCAACAAGGATGAGGCAGGATGGCCCAGACCCCGGGCTACCTCTGTGCTTGCCTACAGGGTAACTCGGTGTTACATTTATCAGCCTGGGGTCTTGTTTCTTACAAAACAAGGAAGGCGTGACAAGAACCTCCTGGTGAACTTTGGGATGGGACCAGGTTGTGGGAAGGCAACTCCAAAGCCAAAAGTTCACAAGAATTCAATTCCCAAAGTAAAAAGGCATTATAGGAAGCAAAGATCATGGAATCATGAAATGGTTTGGGATGGAAGGGACTTTAAAAGCCCATCCAGCCCCACCCCATGGGCAGGGACACCTTCCCCTGTCCCAAGATGCTCCAAGCCCTGTCCAACCTGGCCTTGGACACTTCCAGGGATGGAGCAGCCACAGCTTCTCTGGGCACCCTGTACCAGGGCCTGCCCACCCCCATGGGGAACAATTCCTTCCTAAAGATGAAAGGTTTAGTGTGACCAAGGGGCTCATTCTTTGTAAATTGTGATCAAACCACAAAGCCATCAAATATTTTAGCACAGCACAGCAGTTTCTGTCCAAATATGTTTGTGTCTGCAAAACAGAGACTGAAATTTCCAATCATGTTTTTGATATTGTTCTATCTTACTCCTGCTTTTGTTGTGTCAACGACAAAAAGTAAAATGTCCCACTCAAGAAGTTCCAACTAAAGCAAGATGAAATAGTACTCTGCTGTCTACAGGCTGAACAGAATAGGAACATTTCCCAGTACAGAATTACTGAAATAATTCACAATCTTTCCATCATTTCCATTTGTAACAGAGTCACAGAACCATCTTCCATCTCTGAAGATATCCAAAAGCCACCTGGATACAGTCTTGGAGAACCAGCTCTGGGCCAGACAAACTCCAGAGATCCCTTCCAATCTCCACTAGTCCCTATGACTCTTTTTTTTTCCTCATCTAGTCACTGCAATCCACAACCCCTCTGCATTCCTTTTTACCACAAGTCCTGACATAATCCTGCCCAGCCTTTGAGATCAACCAAAAACAAATCCCTTATAAACTGACTCAAGAAGGGAGAATACGCACAGAGATGTTGTAGTGTGAAAGAAATGCCTGTGTCACAAATTTCTCACTCTGTGTGGCTCAAATGACACCATTTTTCTTTATCAGGTGCAGTTTGAAACTAGAGAAAAAGCCCAGAAGGATGAAAAGGTTGTTTAGGCAGGAGAAATCCAACGTTAGCCATCAGGAAAGGGTAAGAGAGGAGAAAGACATGGAATTATTTTCATGGTAGCTGGGAAGCCTCCAGCTGTTGCAGAAGAAGAGATGCTGTTATCAGGTATTTTAGAGGAAAAGTGGAATGATTTGTGTCGAGGAAGGATGAGAGTTTAATCATCTACACCAGCACTTGGCACAGACTGGGGTAAAACCAAGAGACACCAGGAGGCAAACTGAAGTCATTCTGAAAAACAGATTTTTCTGGCCTTTATATTACACTGTCCTCATGGAAGACACAAAAATACTAACTTTGGTTGACAGACTATCAGGGGATATAATTGAAAAAGAAGCAAATTGGTTCAGCTCATTATTTGTTCAGTGAAGTTCTTTGCCAAAACTGAACCTGGTCTTTATTCTGAGTGTATGAAATGCCAAAGTTCTTTTCCAAGCACAGGGAATTGTCAGGCAAGGTGTGGAGCAGCTCAGAAGAGGAAGAAGAGAGGTACAGGCACAGGGCCAGCACTGGAATGATCAGGTAGGAAGGTGAAGCTTCAGGTGAGGATCTCTTCACCTATCCCCTCAATTTAATTACTAAATTGGCTTTTATTGAGGTGTATCTAAAGAATCATATTCATTCATTACTGACTTCTTTCATTACCTCTGTTAAGCTATCCCATTGTAAACCTGGAGAAGACAACACATGGATTTATTTAGACACATCCAATCCTTAAGACAACATTTCACCTCAGTTTTTTCCCAGTTCATCACACAACTTCTTCCACAGCCTCCACCTGAGCCTAAATCTGAGCAGAATCTTTGACATTCCCTCTTCCCTATCAAACATCTGAGAGTGAAAACAGCCCATAACATATTTTCAGTGCTCCTACTGCTCTTGCTCCTACTCAGCAGCTCATTTTCATATGGAAAGAATCCTGACTTTTCAGTCACTTGATAATCTTCTCCATTACCCCAAGTGTGATTTTGGTTTTAGTATATTTATCAAAAGCACTTGACCAGAAAAATGAATGTGCACTTTGTGGTCACTCTTTAAGGTCTACTAAAAAAAAACGGAATTTTGTAGGATCAGACTTTTATTAGTTATTTATGAAGCAGTGTTGCACCCAGGCAGAACTCTCCCTTCCTTAAAGGTCTAAAAATAAAACAAAATAAAACCGTGGCAATGAAAAGCCTTAATTCTGTAGCCTTAGGGAAAGACAGACTGGACAGGAACATCAAGAAAATGAAAACCCAGCTGCCATAAAAATAGGTGAGAAGAAAGGAGCTAAACCAGATTTATCTGCTGCGGACATTGAAGTCCAAATTGCAGGGAAGAAGGTGGAGGAACTGAAGGGTCTGATCCTGATTTCTTCCATGAATCTGAAGTGTTTTCAGGCCTGGAATGCCTCAATTTAACTTTCCCAAAAAGAGAGGGAAACCAAACCTGCTCTGAGTGGCCAGGGAATGAAGGGAGAGCTAAAAAACCTGAGCTAAACATAGATGGACACTCTGCTGCTCCCTCAGGGCTTGGGTTACAGCAAAAACAGCGTTTAGTGCTAAAAATTCCATCAGTAAACCAAACACAAAATTCTGGATGGCTCCAGGCAGCTAAAAAGCTTAAGGGCAGCAATGCTGCTTCTTAAATTAACAAAAGCATTCAGGCTGCAGCCAAATGTCACTTCTTCGTTTTGGGCTGAAATGTTGGTGCAGGTGCAGGATTTGCCTCCCAACAGGCCAAATTCAGCCTATATTCTTATTTATCTGGTTATATCTGGATGCAGATGGCACAGTGCTGTCTTGAAAGTAAAAAAAAAAAAAAAATCAGCTCTTGAGCCTCAAAGTTCCTTATTTTTGTGGCTGAAGCCTAAAAAAGTTCACTTCTAGCAAGGCAAAAGGCAGGGAACATTTATTGCATGCAAAGCACCGACAGAAAACACAGCTAAAAACCAGGCATTTATTTTAAAAGGAGGTGAAAACAAGACGTTTCCATGCCAATGCTGCAGAGCAATGCTCTGGGGAGGAGGAAGGAACACACATGACATTTTTCACACAACTCACTGCTAAACTCAGCAGTTCTGAGAAAATTGTGAGCCAACCTAGGGGCTCCTTTCAGTCTCTTATTGCTGAATTAATTTAATTTTAATTTAGCCAAGAGTGAGCTGGGGCTGACTCATATTTCACTCAATTTCCAACATTTCAAACTGGACACTCTTCATCTTTAAAAATTCTCATTTTTTTGCATAAAGGGGATTTTTTTCCCACCCTCAGAATAAAAAAAAAAAAAAAGGCTTAAATCCAATTATTATTATCACATGTATGTTACAATAAGGCTAAATCCAAATCAACCTATCATTGCTGCTTTATAGAACTACATGCTACTTTTTAAACTAACAAATTTATAATATATAATTAATACTAGACAATATTATATAAATTAATAAATTGATGAGGAGGCTGCAGAAGAAAAGGAACATTGGGCTGGGCAGGGATGTTCTGTTTGTTTTGGTTTTTTGGGTTTTGATTTGGGTTTTGGGGTTTTTTTGTTTTTGTTTTGGAAGTCTAGAATCTTAAAAGTATTGATTTTTATTAAATATCACTGATCAACAAAGCTACAAAGTTTTGTTACTCCTAGGCCTTGGTGTTTCTGTATTAAGAATTTTGTTGCATACAAGAGATGAAAAGCACAACCCTTTTATTAAAATAAATTTTAATCTTATTTATTTTGAAGGGTTTTTTTTTTGTTCTCATTGAAATTAATCTTGAAATTAGACTGCAGAGTATTTTTGTTCATTTACTTCTATTCTCACCCTCATAATTATCCTCATTTGCCTCAGCCCTCACAGCAGCTGCATTCCCAGCCAATTTTTCAAAAAATCTATTAGAACTAGAAATACGGAAAAATTGCCCTCATTAGGTAAACAAAGGCAAAAAAAAAAGATACTTTTAAAATGAAGTTTGACCCAGAAAAATTAATTTAGTGGCTATTTTCAATGCAGTATAAACAAATTTGTAGTTCTGAAGTGGCCACTACTTCTTTCAAGTGCAACTTTTGCTCTTTGATTTTAATTGTTAGAAAATACTGAGAGTTTTGCTTAAATTTTGTTTCCTGACTGCTAAAAGCCAAAGAATTCTGTGAGATCTTTAAATTAAAATTAGGTGGTGAAAATTAAAATAAATCCATTAGATTGGAAGCCAATTTCAGCTCATTATACTTAAGAGAAAATCAGAAGTAATCCTCACATTCAACCTAAGTTAAATTCCCAGCAGACCCTAAACTTTCCTTTTTCTTCACTATCAACCTCAAATATAAATATCAGATCTCAGATCTTATTTTGAGTACAAATGGGGTGAGAGGGATTAAATAAATTCAGTTTTAGACAGGCACAAGATGGGTCAAGTCACAGAAGGAAGGCAGAGCTTTGCCCACTCACACCCACTGATCATTTCTTTACCTGAATAGCTGTAATTCTCATCAAAAAGAATTCCTAAAACTGAATAAAATTGAATAATTACACCTTTGTAATATATATTTAGCCTCAAAAAGGTTATACTTAGAACCAGTCTGTTCCAGTATTAAAAGGTTGATCAAATTAAATGATTTTTTTTTTTTTTTTTTTAGGTTTAACTTCAAGAAAGTTGTACTTAAACCTAGTCTGTTCTGGTGTTAAATGTACAGACCACAGCAAATATAGAAATATGGGCCCTTTTTATGCAACTTGTATAAAATTCCTCCACAGAAGATGCTGAGGAATTCCAAGATGTTCTTCTGAGAGTGAAGGAAAATTCATTTTTATTTTCACAATCTACCAATAAAACAGCCAAGTTACTTAGGGGGAAACTGCAAAACTTTCCACTGAACTTCCTGAGGTGTTTTTGTGCAAATTAAGAGAAGGGAAAATAAGATTATTTTCATGTCAAGAAGCTGTGGGAGAAATGAGCTGGGACACAGCTTGTCCTCATGTTCTCTGAGGAAACAATGAATAAAAAACAGGAAAAATACCCCAAAAATGAAACGTCAGCTTTTCAGGACTCTTCTCCTCCTGTTCCAGGGACACTTTTGTGTCACCTGCCTCCTCTTCTCACATGATGACCCTGGGATCAAGGAAAAAGCAGCTTTCCCAAGCAAGAAACTGAGAATAGCTGCCCAATTTCCTTTCTCTTCTGCCCTGTTCTCGTGGCTTATCTGTGAGTACAGGGCAGCTTTTTCCACAGGATTCCTGTGGAATTCATCAATATCCCTTTCCTTGTGGGAGGATGGGGCGTGATTAAATTGGAGTATCACAGCAGCTTCTGTGGAAGATGTGCTGACTGGATTTCCTTGGCAGGATAAAGGTGTTTTAAAAGATTCTTTTCCATTCTCTGCTTTGCTGTTTATAAATCCATGTTGGGAATTCATTTCTGAAGAGGATTACAGTTTGCTAGCAACTGATCAATCATTTCTTTCTGAGTATTTTTAAAACAAACCATTTCTTCAAGGGTAAGTGGTTTGTTTCAGGGATTTTTCAGAAAACTTTTTTTTTAAATCAAGAATTTATGTTCATCAAAATGAACTAAGACAATGAAATCATCTAAGTAATTTAGTAATATGAACAACTGATTAAATTCCAGCTCAAACCAGATTTTTTTAGATAAAGGAAAATACCTGATTGATGTAAAACATTTTGAAGTGGTTTTCTCTTGGTGGGCACTCAAAAGTTGCCTAGAGCAACTGGGGTTTTTGGGATCAAAATTCCTGGAAGTTGATGGAAAATTGCTTCATTCCTTCCTTTCTTAGGAACAGACCCTTTTGCAGGCTCTGACTGTGCATGTTGGGATCATTTTGGAAGCAAACTGGGCTGTCTCTGACTCAATAATTACATAGAAATCCTGGTAATAAATCAGAAGTTTGGGATGAACCATGAAAAAGTGGAATTTCCACCAGAATTCAGATCTCTCCATTCAGAGCTCCATATCCATATTGTTTACAGCATTCTTCCTGCCTACAGCCCTCACAACTCCATTCCAGTAATACTTAAATACTCTGAATTTTGAGCCCAGTCCCAGTGGATCAGCCCAAAGAGAGCCCACAACTTGTTCTTGGAAAAGGTTCATATTAAATTTGTGATGAGATGTATTTATGACTCTACTTTTTTCTTTCAGTCCTTGGTGTGAAAATTATCATGCACAACCCACAGAAATTAAAAGCCAACTGAGAAACCTCTGCAAAACATCTAGAAACAGAACATGTGGCAAAAGAATGCTTGGTAATTGTTCTCCTGCAATTAAAATATTGCTCCATCAATTAGAAAACATCCAATTTCTGACCAATTCAAAAGCCTGAGCAAGAGCCTTCATTCCCTTGTACTTATTGATTAAAAATGGGATTGCCCCGGTAGGATCCTGTCAGCTGAGCTAGATGGATCCTAAAGAAGAATAACTGAATTATTCTGGGCAAAGCTGGTTACAGCCTAAGCAGCTGAAGATTAAAAAGCTGCAGTGCACTGAGGAAATGCAGGAATTCTGCAGCCCAAGAGGATTGGCCAAGCAAAGGAGTGAGGAAGTGAGACATGAAGGACCCATTCATTGCTTCCCAAAAATTCCCGGAGCAAAGCAGCACCGGCAGCACACGTGGACCCTGTGAGCTCCCACAAGTGCCATGGCACAGAACCCTGGCACTCCTCACACTGCAGAGGTTCCTGGGAGTGACTTCCAGCTCTCCTGGCCCTCTGGAAAAAGAGCCAAATGAAATCAGCAGCGAGGCTGCACTTCACCAGGGCACACTCAGAGCCTGCAGCTCTCAGACCTTTCCCTCTCACACAGGAGCAGCAACCAATACACACAGCACTGCCTTGAGCTGGGAAATTTTAATTCATGCCCCAGCAGATTAGAGTATCAATTACAAACCCTATCCAAAAACACAGGAGAAATGTGAAGCTACCCCCCACGAATAACACCCTTAAATTGATTTTTTCCTCCTTGAAGTCTCATTGTGAAAAAAGCTTTTTTTTTTTTTTTTTTTTTCCCCTTTTTTTTTTTATTTTTTTTTTTTTTTTTTTTTTTTTTGCCACCTGTCCAGAGTGTAAATTCAGCATCCCACATGCACAGGGATAACACAGGGCTGACCAGAAACACCCCCAGGTACCTCTGCTATGGTCATTCTCATAGCACTGACAGGTGAGGGCTCAATCTCCACCAGCTGAACTGCATTAAAACTCTGGATGCAGGGAGTGCACAGGGATGAGAACACAGCAGCACAGGTTAGAGAGGCAGAGCAAAGACTCAGAAAGATTCTGCTCACTGTTATCAAGAACAACCTAAAATTTATCACAGAATATCCTAAGTTGGAAGGGACCCATCAGCATTATCCAGTCCTGCACAGACACCCCAACAATCCCACCCAAGAGCACTGTCCAAACATTTATTTATGGGAATAACTGACTCTTTCTGGAATAAAAATCAAAATCAGAGTTTGATAAAAGGGAAATACAAAGGAGAGCCAGCCAGAGATGTCAGGGTGCCTGGGAAAATCACCCTTATGCAGGTCTTGATCTGAATCACTTGAACGCAGATCACGACTGCCCAAGTCAGTTCAATAAAGAATTCAAGTCAGAACAAGTTTATATGCTTTAAAGATACAAACTTATTTTAAACAGCTGTTTCTTAAAATAACATCAGTAATGTCAATGGGACATCAAGAATCCACTTTAATCAAGGTGCTGTTTGGAAATGCGCTTACATACTCTGATTTACCCACTTCAAATGTCATTAATGATTGCTTTGGAAGCAACACAGAAACCAAGATAAGATTTTTTTATATTATTTTGGAATTCAGTGTTCTAACAGTATTATTTTTAGTAACTCTATGTATCTCTAAGTATTCCTTGAGCAATTTTATTTGGCACAGTTGTAACCTAGTATTAGTGAAAATTATGAGAACCTCACCAGCAGGATAAAAAGGCAAGGAAATTTAGTAGGAATTAAGTTGAAAGCAGTGAAACAGAGGACTGTTAGTCACAATCTGGAAGCCAAAAAAAGATTCTGCTCTTTTGTGGATGATGTAGAGTCTGCTTGATGCTTTTTTTGCCATCACCCACCTCCTGCAACCAGGCCACTCTCCCTTTCTTTCCCAAAAATAAGAGCACGAGGTTAAACCAGACTGGGATACCAGTGATTCTCTTCCCCATTTAGAACAATCTGCTTTAAAATAGAGCAAGATCAAGTAACTGCAGGGATTCACAGGGCTCTTACAGTGTCACTGTCACTGGGCTGGAACTGGAAAGGCTGAGGTTTGTGGAACACAGAGTTCTCCTGTAAGAACAGCTGGAGATTGTAATCCCGCACCACCTGAGGAAAGAAAAAGGTTTATTTAGACTCCTTGTTTTGTGAACTGAAAAACAGCTGGAGAGCAAAACCAGCACAGTTTCCAACTGAGATGAAACCTGCAGCAGAAGCTTGGGTGCACCAGCAGGGAACTGAGGACCTGAGTTGTTGAGAGGTACTGGCATGACACACAGGGGGTGACGAGGACCTAAATTACCCCTGCCATTTACCTACAAAATGAGGGGAAAACCACCAGCTATTGAATAGACACCCTGTGGTGTCACTGCCATAAATATTTTTCCCTCCTCTTGTGGGTAATTTCCTGTGCACTGCTCTTTCTTGAGATGAGAAGTCTTAATTTGGCAGAAATTATTAATTGTGGGAGATGAGAAGACTTATTTGGAATAATGCATCCAAAATCAGCTACAAACTTCATCTCTCTTTATTAAATTGCTTTCAGAAAAAACTCTCCAAGCTTTCATTTTGCTGAAGCAAAACTCCTTCAGCTCCCAAATTTGCTTAATGATACGTTTCAGGCAGCATGACACAGATCCCTAAACAAACCTCTTATGTCACAATTTACACAGATTTACAAAGAAATACCCAGTGATTGCAAGATGAAAAAACAGGATCACTGGTTGAAGAACTCTTAGAGAGCATTCACTGCCTCAATTGATGGAAATGCATCAAAATTATATCAATTTATTACCAAACTGGGGGTTTACATGTACAAAGGAGATAATAAAGATGGTATTTATCCAGAAATAGCAGCATTGTGCATGACCAAGAACTCTGTGCTTCGTGGACAATGGGAAATAAAACTTGTTCTCTAATGCAGCAAAATGTTGATGCTTGTGTTGCTGAAATACTGAACTGTAAAAAATTAATCTCCAGTTAAAGAAAGTAAATAGTCCTCCAGGGCCAATAATACACTCATCTAAACCAGAAAAGTACATAATTACTGCTCCAATTTGAGCAGTTGAACATAAACACACTCGAATGGGGAGAAAACAGACAGGGATTTGCATCATGAATTCCCAGAAATAGAAATTCAGAAAATACTAACGAAGGAAACATCTGCAGCTTCAGAGGATGCTCAGAACTGATCTAGTATCAAAATAATTTAATTTAAGCAGCTATTCCATTGAATAGCTTTTTCACATGGTCCTTTAGATCCATGTGAACACTGACCGTAGCACACAACCCTGGGCCATGCCAAATATGTGGAGCTATTTTAACTTCAATTAGGAAAAAAAACCCCAAAATGAAGTTACTGATGATGTGAAAACCTTCACAGATATTTTTAATGCGTTTTCCCCACAGAAATCTGACTCCCAAGCAATTCACTTCAATGCAGAAAACTCATTTTTCCAGCAGCACTCCTAGGAAATTTCCCCTCAAACCCACAATAAATGGTTAAAAATGAAAGCAACTGTTATCAGAACAGGAGGACTGGGAGGATGTGCAAGCCCAGCACATGAAATCCTGCATTTGCACAAAATATTGGACAATTGATAAAAAAAGAATAAAAATAATCCAAAGCAACACTGTATCCTTGGGATTAAGCTGCAAATTTTCCAAATAGATTTCCTGTTATTCAGTAATTAAATCAATGTTCTTACACAGTTTCTTTCTGAAGTCAATGTCAACTGACAGGTAACAGCAGACCTGAAATCAAATATTAAATATATCCCATATGCAGAACCAAGGCACAGTCAGAGATGAGATAAAGGAAATTATTTGCCCTCTTACCAGAAACCTGATGGAAATGTTACTCAAAACAGCAAATGGAATTTCAGAAAATGTTCCAAAGAAAATCAGATTTTTTTTTTCCAAAAGAGAAGTGCAAGAAGTACAAATCTTGAATACTTGAAGACTGTTCAAGTGAAAAGAACTGAAATTGCATTTTGATACAATCACAGCCCCAGACTGGTTTGGGTGGGAAGGGACCTAAAAATCATCCCATTCCACTCCCTGCCATGGGCAGGGACAAAGTCCCTTCCACTATCCCAGTGGGTTGGGTGCTCCAAGCCCTTTCTAACCTGACCTTGGGCACTTTCAGGGATCCAGGGGCAGCCATGGCTGCTCTGGGCACCCGTGCCAGAGTCTGCCCACCTTACAGGGAACAATTCCTTCCCAAAATCCCATCCATCCCTGCCTCCTTTGGGGTCAGTGTTCCCATTCCAGTGTCAGAAGAATGACAATGGCCACCCTGGCCCAGGACTAATAACATCTCCAAAGCTCCAACGAACAATGAAAAAACTATGAAAAACCTGCATTTTATACACAAAATCTGGTTTTTAGCTGTTTCCCTCAATCTGCATCACATGAGGTGTCAGACAGCCCTGCCCATCCAAGGAGCCATCCCTGGCCCCTGTGGGAAGCAACTTGTGTCCTCCTAAAGGAAATACAATTTAATTCCATCCTCCAAACAGAAATGTAGCTCAGATGGAAGAGCAAAAATATTCCTCCCAATGACCTAGAGTGTCTCTTCCAAGCAGAGCCTGACAAGCTCGTACTGCAAACTAACAAAGAACAGATGAAGCATTCAAAACCCCCAATAAATATTTAAAACCTTTGCTTTGATGACAGGTTTATTCTAAATTGCTAACAAATTTATTACATGTTTAACAACTCAAGCTGCTTTTGAAAGACAGGGATGGGTTTTGGTGGAGAGAAAATGTCTTTTCCTGGGTTCTTTTTTTTTGGGGGGGGGCTGATTACTGCAACCTGTTATGGAAAGAAAGGATAAGCAAAACTTGTGGAAAAATCCACCAGTCAATGTATTCAGAGCAAAGCACACATCTTCAGCAGCAAAACAACACAAATTTTTCTTCCCCACATTCCTGAAGCACAAGGGGAGAAGCAAACGGAGTTGTAGAAACCAGCTGTAAAAGCCTTGTTCAGACCTGCCAGCTGGATTTACACTTCTGTCCCTTCTCCAGGCACTGTGCCCACAGAGTAAAGCACAAACACAACTCACACACACAGCCTGACTCTGTGGTTGTGTAAAATCAGCCAGACCTGGAGCTCTCTGAACCACCCCAACCTCAGCACACACAAATACCTGAGGAAAGGATTCCTGCTCCAAGGAAATGTTTGGATATGGAAGTTTAGAATTGGATCAAAGTCCCAACCAGGCAGCTCTATGAGTTTTCTGAACACAAAGGATCTGATACAACAGTGAAAAATTAATTATGCAGGCATTATACTGAAGCCTGTTTAACTGAAAGATTCCAAGCCAGCATTTCTGGGGAAGGTATTTGAAGCAGACCTGAATAATACACCCCAAGGTAAATTATTGAAAGTCCTTCTACAACTGAAGAGAAAATGGTGTTTTGATTATTTTTACAGTTGCTGCCAAGTAAATTCAAAGCTGAGGGTGAAGCCCATTTTTCATACCCTCACTTCAGATCTCTGAAGGTGTGAGATCCCTTGCTTGGAGGTAAATAAGGAATGTGTTAAATATGCTTTTGCTCCAGATCTCTGTGTGAATGAGCTCTGTTTCTGGGTGGGTGGGTAAGGTAAATGTAGAAAGGAATATTATGACTGCACCAAAGCAGCTTTTTCTGAGCTCAATGACATTTTTTTCCCCTTTTTTAGCCCAGCAGATGAATTATTTAAGTATCAAAATTACCCTGGAAGCGATCACGCCTCTCTCAGTCTGGCTGCTCGACAAAACAAACAAACCACGTCTATGACAGGGCTCTAATTTGTTTGCTGTTTTTGCCACTCTTAATTCCTGGGAGAAAACAGCATAAAAGCTTGGATTTTAAGTTGACAGGCAATTATTAAGGAATGATCCAAGCAGTTTCCTGGGGCTTTGCTCCAGATTACACCCTGAAGAACCCTCAGCTGCAATTTCCCCTCCCAAATATGCAGGGTGAGAAGAACACAGCACCTATGGATGCAAATGCACTCAGGAGAAGGGAGTCTTGGTGCTGGAGGAAAAATTCTCCCCAGGAAATCTATCTGCTGCCTTTTAACTTAACACCACTCAGGAGTAACCAAAAATAACAACCTTTTGGTTTTGTCATGATTTTGGAAGCAAATCTCAGGGCCTGGGGATTTGTCCATGCTGCAATGATTCAGTTACAAAGCATCATTCAGTTCAAACTTACCCTGCTGGAAGTCTCCAGTAAAAACTGGAAAGTGTTTTGTACAGCTTGGCATGTCTCTAGTTCAGTCCTGCTGAATGCCATTAAATAATCCTTAAGGTGATCATATATATTTCCATCAAGAGCCTGCATGAGGGAAAGAAATAAAGAAAATCAGGAAAAAAAGGAAGCAGCTCTGTATACAATTTATCACCCTGGGACTTGCAAGATGCTCACACCATTTTTTTTAGCAGATTTACACCTGTGAGGAGTAGACAGAGAGAAGTGCAAGAAGCACAAACCTTGAGTAAGACTGTTCAAGTGAAAAGGAACTTAAATTGCATTTTGATACAATCACAGCCCCAGACTGGTTTGGGTGGGAAGGGACCTAGAAAACCCCTCACTCCTGGCAGGAGGAATGACAGTGCTGGGCTCCCATTAGATGGCAGCACACAGCACTGCAACAACATCCCGGCATCTCCACCCAGCTGTGTCCGGGGCAGAGCAGCTCTGCAGAAGGGACAATGCTCAGGGGTGTCACTGAGGGCAAGCAACACACACCCATAGGTGCCAGGCCACGTGGTGCTGCCAACCACAGTATTCCTCAGGGAGTGGTGCCAGGACACTCAACATCTGGATGGGACCTGTCCCCAGCTGTTTGCTTATCAAAAACAGCTGATCAATAGCTGCCACTTCACTTTCTTTTGTGCACAGAAATAACAAATAAGTAACACAAATTTATCCCAAACGTAGCAGTGACAGCCAAGTTCAAACCCCAAAGCTCTGTTGTGAGCAGAGCTGTACAGTCACATCACACAGAGCAGGTTACACAAGTTCTGTGTTAAATACGACTTTGCAAGTGATTGACAATGTCATTTAAATAGTTAACTCAGGATGTATTTAAATATATGTGATATAGATTTTTAAATAGGTCATATTTCACAGATACCCATTTAAACAGTGTATTCGTGGAAACTGCACACACTCCATTTCAACAGACTCAAGAATGTGTTTCTCTAGAAAATTGTATTTGACTATTTAAATAGTTTCAAAAACTTGAGGGGGGAGGAAAGAGTGAAATTGTGCGAGATTTAAGGAATAGTTTCTGCCCCTTAAAAATCAAGCCCAACGTTTAAGGTGAGATGAACAGACACAATAAATCAGACAAATCCTGGAAGTGTCAGACAGAGCTCCGAGTAACCTGGGATAGTGGAAGGTGTCCCTGCCCATTACAGAGGTGGAAATGGATAGGCTTTTAGGTCCCTTCCAACCCAAACCAGTGCATGGTTTTAAGAAATCCCTCAGAAGTTCAGAAGAACAGAAAATAACTTCCTTCTGCAAAGTTTTCTCAGTAGCACGCAGCCACCTTCAGTGAGGGATGCTTTGAGGAGATCATCAAATGGTGGTGTTGCCCTGATTTTCAGAAGTGTTAAGTTTCCTTTTATAGTTCTTTTGAAAGTTTTAAAGTTATTTTAAGAGTTTTCTATGCCTTCTGATGTTTACATATTTCTACTGGAGTTCTCACACACTGTTCAAGTAAATAATGATTGGTTTGCATTCTTCTTTGTGGGAAGAGAGAATTGATGGACTGTTGGTTTGACCAGTGTGGTTGGAGAAGTAGCAATTTCATCCTCCAATCCACTGTCACTACTAGAATTCTATATATTGTTAAGCCAGAAATAAAATTTGCTCTTTTTCTCTTTTAAACTTACCAACCTTCTGTGTACTCTGTGTCCAATAGCTACATGGTGGGACTGGAATTCTCACATCCAAACTCTGATATCCTAAATCCACTTCACACTACACTATTTTCTTCATCCTCCACGTCCCAAGTGCAACCTCAAACTTAGTAGTTCTGTGGCCATCAGGAAGCCATTATGACAAACCAGTGGCAAACTGGGAATTCCTTCCAAGCCCCCACACTGTAGCTGGTTCACTCAGGGGTTCATTCAGGCTGGGCTGGTGCCAGCTCCACCAAACACTCTGTTACACAGAATTTTAAAAAATCCTTATTTCAAGAGTTATGTAATACCAGCTCAGAGCCAAGTGAGGAAAACATCAGGAAATTCCCAGCAACAAATCTAGAGAAAGCAGGCAGCCATACCCAGACAACGGTTCAGTTCTTGCTTGTGCTGCTGTGGGCACAGGATTTGAACATTCCCTGTGCTTTTAGCCCTGAAGGGACGAGCCCTGGGTGCCACAAGAGTGCCAGAGTCACCACCCCATCCAAAGGCACTCATTTCACATCCAGCATGGGCAGCCCCACCAGCAGCTCAGGCCTGTGCTCACAGAGAATACAAATGATGGGTAAAACTGCCAAGACTGCCTGTGGTCTCCCCGGGGGACCACGGGAAGCCTGAAACTCCCCCAAAACAGAACTGACAACTTTTATCTGTTCCTAAAGCTTTTCAGCTCAAACACCAGGGCTGGAGTGCAACTCTGCTAAGAATTATAAAGTAATAATTTCAATGTGGCAAAGCAATTCTAAGTGCTCAGTTTGCAAAGCAGCTGTGATTATTTTCATTTTCAGTCACAATTCCATAAAAGAGAATTCCACAGCTCCATATCAAACCCAAATGTTGTTTTTGTGTCAAACCCCATACAAAGGGCTCGTGTCATTATATTTAAGTGCTAAATGCTGAGCTCTGTGTTGGGTTTTGACACTCTGGGTGCTCTGCAGAGCCAATGGAGAGAAGCTGGTACTTGTGTGCTGTGATTGATCCCTCTCCAAGATAGATGGCTAAAATAGGTCAGCTGAAAGGCAGGATGCCAAGGGCCTATTCCTCTTCACTGACCGTAAATAGTGCCCCCACAATTAGCTCACACAGACACATCAGGCACACACAGCCCAGCCCCACACGTGCTCATTCCCTCCAATTAGCATCCATGCAGCACTGGGGATTAATTCATGTCCAGCTGCAGCCTGCAGTTTGAGGAATACTTAAAAAAAAAAAAAAAAAACCAAAAAAAAACAGGGAGAAAAATTAACTCCATTATTTCCCTCCTCCTCCTGGAATGACCACAGCTCTGCTGAGATGCCAGAAAACCCCACAGTGTGATATAAAAAAATAAAGACATTTAAGAAAGGACATCAGAGCAAAGTGTGGCAAAACATTAGGGAGCACACAGGTCTGTCAGCATGTGAGAACTGCATTACAGCCTGGCTCCTTTCATTAATTAAAAGCAGTTTCAATATGATGAAGTTCTTAAATACCGATGAGAGCAGCCAGAACTGAAGTTCTGAAAGTCACTGCAATATCACACAGGCAGGGCTGAGAAAGCAGCTCCAGCACAGGCTAAAAAGCACAGAAAAGGTGCCATTCCATCAGCCACAGCATCAGAGAGCTGGCTGGCTCCACACTTGCAATAAGAATGGATTTAGCCTTTCTATAAAATGGTAATTGTTACATCGAGCTGGATGTGTTCATATTAAAACAAAAGACTTGACTTGCTGAACTGTAGGATATAAATTAACATTCACGTGGGGTTTTATCAGCTGAATCTCATTCACTTACAAACGCTCTGACCCAAACCACTGAACATCACAGATTTTGAAAGGAAAAGTCTTTTCAAAATTTCTCATCACACAACTTGAAGGGGAAACTGGAAAAAAAAAAAAAGAAAATCAAAAAACCCAACACCCATTATTCCTCTACAATGGCTTTTGTTCTCTTTCTGACTCTCCAGAGAGCACTAAATCACTTACTGTATTACAATCACACTGAAAAACCTGTCTTTTTGTCAACTTCAAATAGAAATCAAGGGGTTTTTTTTAAAAAAAACAAATCTGGCATCAAACCCAAGATAATACAAAGTTAAGTAGCACAAAATTACAATTTCCAAGGATAGAAAAAAGTCACTGTTTTTTTCTGAAATAATTTCTTTACAGAAGAATTGTCAGAGTGAAGGTACAAAACTAATTCCCCCTGTGTCCAAACTTGAGAAGCTAAAGGCTGGAATTAGGGCAGAGAACAGTTGAAGTCGTTAATAAATGCGATGGATACACAACCAAACTAAAGCCTATTTTAGAAGAAACTCTACATAGTAACTCAAACCCATAAAATTATATACAGAGGGAATAGGACAAGAACACTGTTCTGATTTCAACATCCAAGTTTCATGTGTAATTTTGAGAGTTTTTCCCAGAAACAAAACTTCAGTCCCAGTTCAGATCATAATTTTCAGGAGGGTTTTTTTGTTTCAAGAGATGATACAAAACATTTTGGGAATTTAGCTTTAATCATTCTACATTCTATGAAAATTCCCTCAAAAGCAAATAAGTAAATGAAAGTATTTTAGCTATTATTAGGACATTTGGTTGCCTTCGGGAGGTTGTTACTCATTTAAAATAACATACAATGTAGAACAGACCCTGTGTAGAATTTTCATCTTCATTTGTGTGACTGACTTCAAGGTCTCCCCACTGAAACACTAACAGGTCTCAGCCACACTCCACTTAAAAATTACCATTGCAATATCTTGGAGAAGACAGAGAACAAGTTGAACTACTCTGTATTTTTCATTTTAAAAGCAAACAGAAATTAAAAATGGAAACTCTCTGCCCAACACAATGGAGACCAGAGTTGTGTGAAACCACCAAGTTGAGTTTTCCCTGTTATCCCATTTATTTCTGAAATATTCCGGTATTCTGTTCATGTTTGTCTTGCACAGAAACTCCTAAAATCTGTGTTGAAGCTCTGGGTAATAATTTTACACTTTAAATTCAGGTGTTCAAACTAAATCTCTCATTTAACCACCAGGCACCAAAACCAGTGCTAGGTTAAAAACCCTCAATTAAAGGCACATTTGTAAAGCCACGTGGGTTTCACTGTCTAACCCATGTGAGTTTCACACCAGCCTCATCTGAATCAGCACTGCCTAGAAACAATTTGATATTTGCAAACACACATTTATGTTTTTATGCATTTTAAATTCCCTCACCCCACGCTTGTGACAAGAACCATCATCCTCAAACTAGGGGTGGAATGCGATTATCTTTAAGGTTCCTTTCTACTTAAACCATTCTATCGCTCTGTGAGATTAAGTTTTCACTTGAAAACATCCATCCTTCTCTGAGCTGATGCCACCCAACAATTTTTGAGGGCTGATTTTGCCACTGAAATCCTTGGCAAAGGTTCCCTGAGTTG